GAGATTTATGGGTGTGTGCCTGCTGCCCACGGACAGAGGGTCGATGTTTGTGTGTTGGCTTTGTTCAAGCAATCTTTCGTTATGTTTTAAATAGATAACCATTCAGCTGGAGATGGGAGCCAGGCGGGAGCGCCACGAGCTTTGTCGCTACCTTGCAAACTTGTTTTCCTCTTCGGATGGCTGGGGCTGCTCCGAGGGATGAGAGCTGGGGAGGCAGAGGGTTCAAGTGGCTGACTACTTCGCAGACAAAAGGAGCACCTGCAGAGTTCAGTATTAATCCTCTGTACATTGGCTGTGGTGAGGGGGGTGTTTCTATCTGTCTCTAAGGCAGATGGCTGAGGTTAAACATGCAGCAGGGGAATCAGATAACATCCTCTACTGAGGCCGAAACTACACAGTACAGGAAATGCAAAGATGCCACCCAAACCTGCATCCTCATGTCGAGCTCTCACGCTTCCCTGCAGTGCATACACTCACTTTCCTGTGAAGTTTTAGCATCGCATCGTACGTTTGTTCGCCCTCGTTAGAAGCCTCCAGTGATGCGGAATAGAAAACCCTAACGGAGCTGTGATGTTTAAGTGTGTTCCTATAGACAGACTGCATTTAGATGGTACACTGGAGAAACATGTCCCATGTGCCCCCCACTTTCCCTGCTGTGGTTGCAAGGAGGTCATGTTCTTCTGACAAACCACAGTTCAGCATATTATCTGACCCATAACTGTGGTTAGTGTTGTTAACCATCATTTGTTTGCATAAGCCAGTTTCGTAGACCAGGGTCCGACACAGGTTTATTTCAAACAAACTGTTGTTACGATTGACCCCACCTTGTCACTTTCAGACAACACAACAAACTAGGGTTAATCTGGAGGCAAGTGCTTCCAAATCACTGTGCCAAAGGCAAAAGGAAAAGTGAGTGATCCCAAATCACTCTGTGATTCATTCTCCTTCTGTTAAACTATGATTTACTGTCACAGGATGGGGGAACTTGTGCATAATAAATAAATAAATAAATATGCAGATTTTGTTTCTGGAGGTATCTCCTTTGACGCCCACAGGGCTCACAGTCACTCTGGAGTCCTGTGTAAAATCAGAGTTTATAGACTGAATACTTGTAAATAAACAAACCTGAATTTTTGGCATGAGAGCAGCCCCATATCCCACAAAAGGCAGCTTTCTGTATTTCTGCTGTAAGTTGATCCTGAAAGTCCCATTGCTCAGATAGAAAAGAAGGCAAAATTATTTTTTTATTATTGTATAAAGAACGTGTAAATAAATTTAAGAGTTGAAGGACCTTTGCACTGTATGCCTTAAAGGACACACAGCAAAAATAACATCACTGGCAGCAGTTCTCCCTCAGCATTCAGTTGTACAGGTTGATTGTGCAGTTTGCCTTTTCTGTAACATGTGAAAGCAGCTCCCTAAACAGATTTCGATACTGGAAAAACAGGTTGCTGCTTTGCCATCTATATCATCCTTCCTCTACATTAGGAGGAATTGTTAAAGTAGCAACTTAGCATCACAGCCACATCCTGAGCTAAATTAAATTGTGGGACAGGCTGCTTAGCTTCACACCCACCCCTTGATGACCACTGCTGTGGCAATTTGAATTGAGAAACATCCAGAGAAATACATAAACATAGTGAGTCAGAAGGGGTTTCCTGGGTCATCTAGTCTGACCCCCAGCTCCAGTCAGCTTTGTTTCTGTAATGACCCTCAACCATGTGACACCCCATCACAAATCCATATGTGACTATAAAAACTCCCTCTTCTCCAGGCTGAAAAGACCCAGCTCCCTCAATCTAGTCTCATATGTCACCACCCCTCATCCAATAGTAGGGATAGAACTGGGGACCTCTTCCTTGAAACCTACAACCCAGTAAGTTAAATATTAAAGTACAGCAAAAGCTTCCCAGAGGAGATCACATGCGACTTTTCATCCATACTCTGTGCAAAGTCAGTAAGAGAGGCCATTGCTCAGATCGCTGACTTGTTCCATGGTGGTGCTTAGGCTTTTCATACAAAAGATCACAGGTTTAGTCCTTCCTATTGCCCATTAAAAGAATCAGGTAACAGGTGTTGGGAAATACAAAGTCCCTGGAGAAACACTGCAATTTTGTAGGAAAACAGTTTGTTTCCAGCAATTTGAACAAGAATAAATAAATAAATAAATAAATAAATAAATAAATAAATAAATAAATAAATGTAGGATAAATGTTATTCATACTATCCCTCTCAAGCCCTGGTCTAGGCTGGCTTAAGATGGAAATATGATGGGGTCTTCTACCATCATTCAGTAAGCCTATCGTCTTCAACTTAGATTTCCTACAGTAGATGCATGTCCTTGTTTCAAGGCAACCATGGGTGTTTCTATATGTACACGTGTTAGAAACATTCTTGCAACTTCACCTTACCAAAGAGATGGTTTTTCTCTCCCTCCACCTATTCTGCAATTTCCTAAAGTCAATTTTAGCTTACAGTATACCTTCAAGGTTGGCAAAAGTTAAACTGAAACAGACTCGGCTTGCATTTTCCCCCTGAATGTGGGGAGGCTTTGGCCTATAAAGCCAGGGGGAAGCTGGGATTTAGATTAAGTGATTGCTAGGGGAAATGGAATCAGCTGCTGCAGGATGTGGGAATCAGGCAATATGATGAGACATGACTATTTGCAGAATTGATTTTATATATAAGATGTGTGCATCATGACGAAGCTAACAGCCACAACAGCATGAGTTAGTGGAAGTCCAGATGCCCCCTGGCAGGGCAGGGCAGGGCAGGGCAGGGCAGAATGCTATATGCTTGGAGAGAAGTGATACAGGAGCATACGTGGCTGAACTGCACCGATTCCTCTAAGCAAGCCCAAGACATGACTTCCAGGGTGCCAAAAAGGCAGATGTCACATGAACTTTCCTTGTGACATAGTGGATTGCAAAACCCATCATCTCCAGCCAGTATGCCCACAAAGCTGGACTAATGGGAACAGTAGTTGATTAAGAAAGTGGCTTTAAGTGATCTACAGCACATTTAGCATGGTGCAATCCTACTGGACAGTAATTCCCAGTGATTCCAATGGGATCTATTCACTTCTGAGAAGGGAGCACTGTGCATGCATTTCTAGCAACCAATCTATTCTAGCAACCAATCTATGGAGAATAACCATACTCCACTGTATGTATCTCGGAACAAGATTATGTGCGACAGCAGACATGGCAGGGCCACTGAAAAGAGGCCTCTCCATTTCCACATAATAGAAAGCTCTCCAGATTTGTGTGTCTGCCTGATCAAATGGGCCTTTGGACTGCTCCAGCACAGTCCACATTTATTTATTTATTTATTTCCTGCCTTTTTCCTACAAAGGGCTCAAGGCAGCTTACATCTCCTCCTCCATCTTAGCCCCACAACAACAACCCTGTGAGGTAGGTTGGGCTGAGAGTCTGTGACTGGCCCAAAGTCACCCCTTCATTGGCTCCATGGCTGAGTGGGGACTAGAACCCAGATCGCCTGAGTCCCAGTCCCATGCTCTTAACCACTATGCCACACTGGCTGTTCTTATATCTATTTTTTCTCCAGAATTAATGTCATTTCTCTTAACTGTTATGTAAGTGAACACACTTGGGATGTGTTACAGAGTAACATATGCATGTCCACACACAAACACACATGAAGTCAAGTCTCTGTCCTAACAACATTCTTGACAATGGGATGAAAATGAAAGGATGGCATTGGAAGGGAAAGGGATCAAGACCACAAAACAAAAGCAATGGAAGTGTTCAGATTTCATTATAGGGAAGGTGTCTAAAGGGTCAAGACAAAGCCTATGCAATGACAGGACTTTTAAAGAATTTCAGACAAAGCATTGTTTCCCATAGTGCAAAGGAAAAGTGCAGCACAGATTGTATCAAAATCTGATTGGATATCATACTGAATTGTAAGTATACTCTACAATGTTAGGAACTCTACCTGTCGCATCAATCAGTCGATATCCTTCCTAGCCTCTGCAATGTCCACATCTTTAAAGTTTTATCTGTTCATCAGCATCTTTTCTCAAAATACTGTTTTTATTAAAATCTTCATTCCTAAGACAAGTGCAGAAGGGCTGGCACAGGCTTTTTGAGGTCAGCACATCTATTAAAGTCTAGATCAGCCTTCCTTAATCTGGAGCTCTCCAGACATTTTGGAGTACAGCTCCCATCACTCCCGGCCATGCTAGTGACAGTTGATGGGTGTACAATCCAGAACTCCTGGAGAGTACCAGCTGGGTGAAGGCTGTTCCAGAGGAAAAAGAGTGACACATGTCTGGAAGGAAAGTATGATAGACGAATATGATTTGTCTTACTACTTCCTCTAATTTAGTGCCCATTATGAGCTAAGTACCATCCCAAATTTGGTAGTCATTATGTGTGTGGCTGGTGGTCATTACATCTAGCTGTCTGGTGAACTGGCTGTCTAGAAAAGCCATTGCTTTTATCCCCTTTGCTTAGCTTTGATATGGTATGGTGTAGATTTGGTGAAGGAAGGAAGAAGCAATGGACAGGACGGGACGCTTGCTACCATTATGGTGATCCTGTGTGAGAACGTAAGACCAGCCCTGCTGGATCAGACCAGGGGCCCATCTAGCCCAGCATTCTGTTCTCGGTGGCCAACTGAGTGCCCACAGGAGACCTGCAGGCAGGGCATGAGTGCCACGGCACCCCATTTCCCTGCTGCTGGGGCCCCCAGGCATGCTTAGAGCAGAACGCAATGAGCAAAGCGAGGAGCCATGGAGGATCTCCTCCATGCAGTGGACAGTCTTCTGTGTGAAGTCCAAATCTGGTCCAGAACTAAAAGGACAGCAAGACGTAAGAGTAGGGGCCATGGAGCTCTCCAACAGCTCAAGCAACTGGAAAGCAGTTGGGCCACTGGGCAAGGGAGCACTAATTCTTCATGTGCTTGGTGCCTTTTGCATCCAAGCCACCTGGCAAATGATGCACAGGACATGTAAAGATCCGGAGGGGAAAGCTCACCTTCTTTGGTATTGAGTCGCGAGGATGGCTCCATGTGGGCTTGCGTATTGTAAGACAACAGTGAGCTACCTGGGAGGAAAAAGAAGAAGTTGTTTAACTCCATGCAAAAAGAGAGAGAGAAAAGTGCATTTTGCAATGGGAAGAGGAAAGGGTATTGGGAAGTGGGGACGGGTAGTTAATTTTGCAATTAAGTAGCCATTATCAAATTGCAGATACTTGGATGGGAGCTGCTGGACTGCAGGCCAAGAAAGAAAGGATTTCTGATGAGACATGGGGAGTGGGAGAGGGTGGGGAGGAAACCCCCTTTGCAGGTGGCATTATGCATCTCAAAGGCACGAGCAATACTGTGACAGACTAAAGCCTGGGGCTGCCTTGCATTTTGGGGCAAATTTCTATGACTAGAGGCCAGGATAGCCAGCCAAATATCCTGCTTTGCAAAGGACACTCCTTTGAAGAGACACCAGAGCACAGTTATACTACGTGAAAGTACCCTTTATGTTAAGAGCCATAACACCAAGGACTTTGCAAGTGTCCACCCACATTTAGTGCTTGCATAGCAGACTGATGAACCGCACTGTAATTCTTTTTCATGTATAATTATTTCTAAGTTTACACCTATGCATATTCATTTGCATGCATAACTGTATATTGCAACAATTAAGCAAATTGATACCTGATGCTCCTCCTTTTTGGGGATGCATTTCCTTTCTTTCGGTAACATGCAAGTGCTGATCCTACTGACCAGTAAAATGACATCCAGGTAGGTAATCAAAACTGAAAAGCTGTTAAATGTGGAACATAAACCACTTAGAGTAGAGGGGTTGGCCCACCTAAAGTCCTCAGCTTGCTCTAGGGAGTTTCCTGGCATTTGTGGCTCCTTCCCCTGGCCCAGCTCCTTTTCCCTGATGCTTTCCTGAGTGGTGTTTTCCTGATTTTTTACAGAGGTTCCTTCCTGTCCTCAGTTCCAAATTGTTGCTGTCAGTAACAGCATTAATCTAAGTGGGCTGCCATGTTTGGCTCCCTCCTACCAATTTGCCTTCAAGCTCCATTCACCACTGGAAGACAGCTCACACCCTAAGTCTTCTCTCTCTCCCGTTCCTCACTCTCACTCAAAGAGTTTCTGCACTCCAGCCTTAAAGGGATCAACTAATCTGCATAGATTTGAATATGAATATAAGAACCATTTTAAAAGCAAAGAAAAAAAAA